ATACAGCTCAATCGACATGCGATTACTATTTTTGGCATGATTCTACTATTAGTTCATTTGTTCCTGTATTTCTTACTTGCTACTGCATTCTGCTACATTCCTTCGCGCGCGGTGTCTTTCTCGCCGCTGCGCGAGAAATTCGACCCTTCTGCACCACACCCTAGCAGGAGATCCCGTGCCAATCAATAGTCGTGCCTTTCGTGAAACGTACAGTCTATGTACTAATAAGCTCATGTTTTCGTTTTACGTACACCTTTCTCTAAACTACAAAGGCGGCATCGGAGTACTTGTTTTTCACTCCAGAAGTTAATAATGACTGTTACTATAACAATTCCACGCCCTTTAGCACGTTCACACCGATAAGAATAAGAAAGCTAGTGTTGGGACGATGTTGATCTCATTGGCTCATCCTTTCCTGGCTGTACGGTGTTCTTGACATAAAAATCCATAGGGAATACACTTCATTACAAGCTACTGGAGACAAATATACTTACAGAAAGAACGAAGACTGCATGAATCTTCAATTCAACTCAACTGACTAGACTTTAATGTCTTCCTTCCTCTTGCTTCTCATTCATTTCTAAGTACTTGACTGCTGAATTAAACGGCTTACTAGGTCCCTCCCTCATAGCATTCCCGATAGACCTCCTTCAGGTAGTGTAAAGGAAGAAAGAGACAGAGTTGTTCCACTACTTTAGCAGTACAAGTTTAGCCCTAGAGTAATGTAGTCATTCAGAGTGCAAGTTATTAGCATCCAAGCTCTATTTCCCCTATCACAAAGAAAAATCAATTGGACAGCGCTAGCTCGGGGGGAATAAGTTGCTATGATGAATATCTTGGATTTGAGATTGTAGCATTTATCTATAAGAGGACTTTACTTCCAGCTCTCATATACTAGTTTTACAAACCAGTATCCATTCCTCTCTACCGCTTTGACATCAGAAAATCTATTGGTTTGTTACAAGTGCAACTGACATACATATTTCATTTTGTTTATATGGGCATTAGGGTTCTCAAAGGGCAATTTCCCTGTTGTTGAGAAGGCTAAGAATAAAGAATGGAACGATAGGATTGCCAGAGGAGTATCATGGGATAGCCGAAGATTGATTCTGAAGCTGCAAGGTTTGATGTGATTTAGGCATGTGTCTTAATCTGATTTGAATAGTTTTATCGGANNATTGTAAGTGTTGTCGGTTGGTGTTATCCTCCGGATTTCCCGATTGAGCAATTCGTCGTCCACTTTCGTCCTCCTCTCTTCACTTGACCTCCTCCGACGGGACTCCTCGGCTGCTGCTGCTGCTGATTGTACTGGTAGCTCTGCTGGCCGACATATGATAAGCCCGCCCACTAGCTCTTGCTTGCTTGGTTTTAAGCTCGACGGCTTCCCTGACACCTCATACGTGGTGAGCTTAGGGGTGAAGTTTAACATCACCCATTGCTCATCACTGACACGAACGACGATGTTCTTCTATTCACCGAATGCTCGACTATCGACAAGTGGTCCAGCACGACGACCAACCCTTTCACATGCTACATTTCTAAATGTTGGCCATCTTGACACTAGGCTATCCTATCAGATTCCGGAAATCCTGTCTCGTCATCATACCACGGAAACACAGGAGCTACTACGGAATCTCCCAGAAGAACTTCGTGTTGAGCAACGGCAAAGCTTCGCTCTGCCTTTTCGACACGACCTCCATGCCCAAGACCGAGTCGAGCTCTGTGCTTCACCGGTTTCCCCCGTATTCTCGACAACCGAAGCACGTCGAACCAGTCGGCAACAGAAGGTTTTTCTTCGTCGTCCCACAATTTCCATTCAAGACGATGGGAAAATCGTGATAGGTAATTTGCTTTTTTCATGGGAACACGTCCATTTCCAATTTTGTTGTTTCTCATTTCCCCCTTCTTTCATCTTCTTTTTCACAATGACATCCAAGAATCTCGACAGGCAGCAGCGTAGTGTATTTACTGGGAAAAAACGCTCAATTTGCTTTTTGGGTTTATCAGACTCATCGATGATGTTGTGTCATAGTGTCTTACTATCTTCCTAGTAATCTGAGAGTAGTTTAGGTAGTTTTTACATTTTCTTCCGGCCATAACCTATTGGCTTGTTAGCGTCTCGATGCGGATGTGGTTGATGGCCGTATGAGTAGAGATATATTTATCGGAAATTTCTGCTTTCCACTGCAAACTCCATTATGAGACGCCCTAGTGGGCGAGCCGCCTATAGCGGTCAATTGGTGGTTACCAGTAGACATTGCTTCATCAAAGAAACGGCAGCACTACACCTCATTCAACAGACTGAGAACGAGACTGTCACTGAAAATCAAATCAAATAAAATGAAAATATTGATGGATAATCGATTTCGTGGCAAGACTAGCTTGCATAGATGGCCATTTGACCTGCGCTATAATTAGGCGGTCAAGGCGTAGCGTCCGACAGGACGTACCAAACAGTGTCTCCATGCCAGGGCGATCAGTATCTACAGTGTAAAACTGCGGGGGTTTTAAGTCTAGGTGAGTGAGTGTGAATTTTATCCATGGACAATTCTGAATTTGATCACATCAATAATCCAATAATTTTTTTTCAGATCATGTGACAGCCAGATGGGAAGGTGTACCGTTGAATTCACAATCGGCGTTAATTGACGCCGATGATGGCGCCACTGTCATCACCGATACCATCAAAGATGACGCTGAACGACAAGAGCCGAAAAGCTGCCCACAGCAAACTGTCAAGGTGATCAATTCCATCCAAAGCCTACCTCAAATCTCTTTTATTTCCCTTCTATTTCTACAAAATATTCTATTTATTTGGTTATCCCAACGCTTTGCCTCCTCTCTTGGCAACACATGACCACTTAACCTTCTCATGCTCCGAATCGAATTTCCATTCCATTGGGAATTTTCTCTTCAAAATAACCCAAGAGACTTCAAAAGATGCCCTTGAATTTGCCAGTTTCTGGCTGATTTATTTATATCTGTTGTTTTTTTTNTTTTTTTTCGTTTCACTGTTATTCCACCACCAAGCGGCCGGCTAACTTGTATTGGTTTGGTGTTAACCATGAAAAATACGCGCTCATTCATAGCGCATATCGCCTAGGGACAAGAATTGCCGGCGTAGAATGGACCTGTGCTCGTTTTTCAACGGCCCGTGCCGCTTTTTGGCAATGGCGTATGCTGCCAAGAAAAGGATGACACGACAAATGCGACTGGCCGATGAAATATGAGTGATGACAAATGACTTGGGATTGCTTGGCGTTTGAGAATTGCTTTGGGGCTGTTGAGTATCATCACTCATCTCAACAAGATCCCCCTCCTATTTGCCGTCCAAGTTGTTGTCGAATTATCGACTGCTCTTTTACGTATATACGTAGGCAAAAACTGCAGATAACGAAGTTATGAAGTAAGTATTGGAGTAGGGATGGCAGAGTACTTTCAACCTGTAAAAAATTGTAAAGTTACATACTGCAGCTTGCACAATCTCAATAGGCCTTCCTAAAAAACTTCCACCTCTTCGAGACTCATCAGCGTACACTCGCCAGCCCGAAACGTCGCAAAGGCAGGATTCCAAGGTAGCAAAGATTTGCCAGTGGGATCTGAAAAACCAGACACGAGCAAGTGGCATGAGGTTCAGCTGAAAAGACAAGGGAAAAAGGAAACTACTGCTGAGGGGCTAACTTCTCTGGAAACGAATCAAAAAGCCTATGAAGTGAGTAAAATGTAAAGGGCAAAGTTTTTGGATGTACGGGCGCACTCAACCTCTACCAGCACTCTTAAGTGGGTATTCCGGCCTGTATTTGTCCTACACAAGGACTCACTGGAGCTAGCTGATGTGAAAGTAAAGGCTTTCATCCCTCTAGACAGGCCTATTGCTTGCTACCAACTCTGGGAGGATGGAAGCTGGCCTAGCTGACCCGGGAGATGGGAGGAGATCAAGGCGAAATGCGATATCTAAGCCTACTTCGATTTAATGAATCTTTGAAAATTTGTATAGATGATTAAAAATGACAGGTTAACCCATGTTACATCAGAAAAGTCATTCTCAGAGTTTAGAATGATTTTACCAAGGTAAGTTAAGCTGAAGCTTCAAGCTTCATGTGCACGATTACTTGGACGTCCGCCTTTTCTGAAAGGGCAAAACGTCGTACGTGGCAAAAGAGAGTGAGCATAGTAATAAGTTATGCGTTATGTATGCAACTGCTGTCTGTCCTCTGATGGACAAGACCGGAACCTCATTACTACTCTTAGTGTCCTCTTTTACTAGTGCATATGTTTTAAAATCAGAAGGGATCCATGAAAACTGTGCATTTTCCAAAAAAAACCCCTCCCAGGACAATTTTTATTGGGCATCGGAAGAGTTCGCATTCTCAAATAGATTCCCGCAGTTCACGAAGACAAGTAGTAAAAGCTGTCGTGAATACAAACCTCTTACTCTGGTTACGAGGCGATAGTTTTCCCGACTTTTTGAAGTTGTTTTTACATGACCTCTTATATTTTTCTTTTCTTTAATAATGTGGTATCAGATTGACAAGAAAGCTCTGCCACAAAAAATTGGAAGCATCAAAAATTTTGTATAAACAATGTGAACACGATAGCAAGGGTAATAAAGTTAGGACATTTCCTGGGTAATCAACACATGAGTAAACAAGGGCACGCGCGTGAGCTTCCGCCGCTTTACCACCAATGATTGGACAACACCAAGCCCGTACCATCATATTCTACTAGGCACGTCAAGGGAAAATGCGAATGTAGTGGCTGAAACTTCATCGACCCAGCTGAAAGCACTGTTCACCGTTCTACGGTCAGCATCTGGTTGAATCGCTTCACTGCAGAAGATACCAAACTTCGAAGTAATGCAAGCATCGTCTTATAGTTCTAGGGTGGAGGAAGTGGTGGAGGGACCCATTCCCTATGAGTTTCTAATCGCAAACTGGGTAGTCGCATCCATCGTTTAGCCCTATGATTCCTAGCATTCCGTCAACGCGATTAGAGGAAGACCCCCTGTAGCGTAACTCAGGTCATCAGAAAGGTTGACGACGGCAACGCTCGTCGAATTATCGTTTTGGAGGCCCGTCGAAAATTCACCGTCCTCGCTTTGCTCCAGGTTGTTCATCAACCGTTCCTGGTGACCATGTGCCTTTTCAGCCATCCCTCTGTTGGGAGAAAAGCTAGAGAACTCACTATGACCCGAAAACGGAAGTCAACGATTTGTTTGAGCATCAGTTTTTTGACTTCCGGACAAAAGGCAACAGTGATTCGCTCGAAAGATAGGAGAAGCCTGTTCGTCTCATTAGTGATTTAATACGAGACTTTTTTAATATTTGTCTAGTTTGTACAATCCCAGAAATGAATTTGAAATAACTTTCTTTCTATCATAAAACTGCCCTCTTAATTGAAGATTGTAGTGGAGTCTCCTTAATTTTTTCCAAGTTTATTTTCATCTATTTCAGTATATCAAAATCCTCACACCTCATGTCATACTGGTTGCCGTACTTATTGGTTATTTGTGCCTCGGAGCATGGATACTTATGCTTCTCGAAACGAGAACAGAACTTTTAGCTCGATCAAGAAAACTTGTTCGGTGGGTGTTACTACATAGTAATAGTTAGAGTGATTTTGTGATAATTTGTAGATTGTCTTTTTTCATTTTCAGACTAACCAATATGATGTCCAATTTCACTGCGGAAAGTTGGCGGATACTGAACGAAGCTCAACATGGTGGTCGTTTAGTTGACGAGCAAGATTGGGCAGCAGCGTTTCGGTATTCATATAATGGCATATATTTACATATTCTATCAAGATGTACCAGTTCCTTTCTACTACATTACGCTTACTTGTTATCCAAGCTAGTCAACTTAGCCACTGATTGCGGAAATACGGGGATAATTGTTCTTGGGCGTATATGGGCAAGAATGTCCGCTGCCCATTTTTTTGGAGGGAAAAAAACTAACTAGACAACTTTCTATGCTGTATACCCAACGGACGTTGTCCTTTAATTGTTAATTATCTGGGGAACTCTTTCCATTACAGAGTACTTTGTTTGTGGTATCGAACTTGAAGAAATATTCGTTCAAAGCCAGTGCTGATCGCTTTTGAGATGTACTTCAGGCCATTTTGATTTGAAACAGGAATTTCAGTTGAGCTACCAGTTATGGGCCATGGCATTACTCGTGTCCGGATGGAAGTCGACGATGCACATGACTATGATCGAGTGAATGCCACCCGCGTTCTTTTTTTGGTACCCCTCCCCTAGTGGCGCCATGAAATTCTTGACGCAAACTAATTAGCCATGCAAAACTCCCTCACATCGTTCGTCCAAACTCGTCCAAAGTATTCGCTATGTGTATCCCACTAATCCCATCGATTAGCCTTAGGAGAAGCTAATTTTGGACAACATCATTTTTCAAGAACTTCCGATGTACCCCGTTACCAGGGCTAACCTTTGGGCCTCGGAAAGTGGCTCCTGTAGTTGAACTCCATTGGAAATTCTCTCCGAAGTAGGACCAGAACCCCTGTCCAGATTCCAAAGAAAGGCGAGAGGGGGAAAAGAGCATATGTTTACACCTTGGTCATTGAAAAGTAGCATAAAAGTGATAGATTTATTTTCTAATACTAACTCTTTTAGAAATCTATGGACTGTAATAGATTCCGTCACTTAAGTTTGACCCTCCCACTAATACCGTGGACGGCGTGGGAATCTGCGGTTTTATTGTCGTGGGGGCGATGAAAAACAATCGTTGTTTCCTTGGGGCCCATCGAAACAGATGTGCCAAAGATTAAAGAACAAAATGGGGCGAAATACACCATACGATGATGACATTTTATAAATTTCCAGGGAATGGATGCTATCAGTATCGGAAGTGGTCGACGATCGGCGACCGATCCGTCGAGAGCTAAACCGACCGGATGATCTTGCCAATATGCATAATAAGTGGACATTTCCAACAGCATTACTCTACGTACTTACCGTATTGACCACTTGTGGTATGTTCTTGCTGTTTGGAGAACAGTTTCTTACATAGAAATACTAGTAATATTGATGGATACAACATTGTGTGTGACAAAGCTAATCCCCATGGCTCAACGGGGCCAGTCATATGTCAAAACAAGTTCACCGACACGTATGAAAAGTGACATGTCACACATGAAACCTACATCTACATAGGATGATCCCTTGTGGTTACAATGTTTATTCAAAAGTATCCTTAAAATTTAGAAATATGCCGAGAAAGCTGGACTATGTTCCCAGAAAATCTGTCTTCAACCGGTTCATTAGCAAGTTTTTCTACTTATGAGCAAGCTGTCCCTTGAGGACAAAGAGTTTGGCCCAACGATTTCTTATTACTACGGGCTGTCACTCTAGTATTTATGTTATTGGATTAGATTACTCTACAATTACTCCAAAAATATCATCATGCCAAGTTTATTTATCTATTTACTTAATGCGCTTGAATGGTGAGCTACAACGTCATGGATAAGCCGCAGACTGGGCTGGTTGTATAAGTAAGGAACTAGGCTTGCAGAAAAGAAAAGAATTTGCTATAAAATTACAAAGTAGCAAATAAGTAGACAATATACAAAGTAATGCGAATAAGCAAAAATAAAAACATCCCTACTTACGAGTTGCTTCAAGCAACTTGATCATCTTCAGGGCGAGCTATATGTACCCAGAATCATTAGGCGAAGTCTGAGCGAGCCATTTAGTTCCTGTTTCGAATGTTTCCCAGAATGAGTGTGGTGTTTACTTCGATACACATATTTCTAACGGCGAAAGTAGAATAGTTACATGGTGCAGCTCTACCACACTGGTATACCCTGTATCGAAGGGTCAACTCTCACCTGGGCTAACTAAGCTTCCATCCCTTGAATCTTTCAGTTGATTGGAACCAGATTCATCTGATGAGACAGGAGCACTATCTATAAATCGACTAGCCCCCGCAAGTCATTCTGAAGATCCGAGTTTACTGCAATACTGAACCGAGATAGAATGCATGGGCGTTACTGGTCACACGACTGATTGCAAAAAACTGAGATTTTTGAGCTTACAACGGATGGAGATATCTCAGTTTAGTTGGCTTTTTCCTTTGCTCACTATCATCGCTCAAAAGGCCAGTCCAACACGGAACCCTTTTCTCAATAGTGCGGACGTTAGCTTAACTTATTAGGAGAAAGATAAGAATATGCAGTTCCTGTGAGCATTTCCTGTTATAAGTTGTTAGCACTTTTCAGTAAATAGGGGAGGATTTCCATTAGCGACATGTTAATTGACTAGGAATTCCGAACTCCTATAGGACTAATTCAATTCTCATTTATTTGAAATATCCATGAATGAATAACTGGGTTCAGTTTCCCCTACTAACTAGTTCAGAAGATAACTGGCGACTCTGGTGATAATGAAATTAAGAAAAGGAATAAAAAAGGAGTTATGGCAGGAAGTAGTGTAGTGGCAAGCGACTGTCACCCGTGCATGGTCCGTGGTTCGAATCCTAGCTGTATACTGGCGAAAGTTAAGCATTCCATACCTGGGGTCGGTAGATTGGTACCAAATTAGGAAATTAAAATTACTGACTTGCATATTGGCCCACCATCACAAGTCATCGTGTAGGCTGCATACTAATGCAAAGCACCACTACGATTATGATAGGAAATGGAATACTGGGCGCATCCTATAAAAACAGGATTAACTGAATTCGAATTTTTCCCTCAACATTTACATAGGTCTTCCGATGACAGTCGGCTCTCTCCATCTCTTTTTGGGACCGCAACAAGTCAAAAGACATGTTTTCTAGATATGTAAACTATACTACCTTCTCGGTACTACTGTAATAGATTTTCCATGAAACCGCTCTAAAATCACTTTTTTTCTTATTATATCAATTTAATCCCATGGGGGCAATCACGTGAATTGTAGAAATGATACTTCAGGTTCAAAGTTCTACTCATCAAAAGTCGAAATGGATTTCTAAATCACATGTTGGAAAAGGGCTTGAGGGACTGCCATAAAATTTATCATTATTAGAAAGCTTCCAGAAATTTACTGGGTGCACTTTATGGGAATGAAATATACTACTCACCGTAAAAGCTCGAAATCGAATCACTGCGGATAGATTCCTGACTTTGTAGCGTTCCAGGGATGGTTATTGAGGAATTCGTTATTAGTTAGAACTTTCTATGAAAAAATTTATTCCGAAAGAATTATATCTGTAGCTTCAAGTGGGTTTCATGACTGAATGCTCTAAGTAGTTGTTTGAATCAAGGACATCTTGTTCATATTTCAAGAGCTTTTTTGAAATCCATAGGAAACCAAGACATCCGTGCCCCCTATTCCCAATTGGTATGTACTCGACCAAGCGATTCTATCGAATAGAACTCTTTCCATCTGCTTTTTCTTTCATCGAATATGCTAACATTGAAGCCCAGCGCAAACTTCAGCTTCATAATTGAGTTACCAATTGTAACTATCTCCTTGCCTACCCATTCTTCACTGCTCGAAAATACTAATCTGTCATAGACAGATTTGTTGTTTCGGACTTTTTCAAATTGGATGAACCATTGTTCTCCATCCGCTTACGCTCTAGTCCCCTCGACAGGAAGGAGGAGCAACGGTGCATGGGGTACCCGGAAAGGTTTGAAGGGATGTTTCAGGCTTGAAACCTTCTGGGCTCGGCTCCGTCAGCACACTTGATCCAGTTTTAAAACAATTTCTGCGAATTGTGAGAATTATGAGTCTCAATGAAGGAGATACTAAATAGTATTGAGTGATATTGAGCGGTACTGAATAGTACCGAATGATACTGAATAATACTGAGTGATAATAAACAGTATGATCAAAGAGGCTACCGCCAAATCAGAGGCTACATTCGAGCTTATAAAGAATAATATGTCACCGAGGCCCAAGAAAAGGAATTGCTCAGGTACGACAGAGAATACGACAGTGAAGTTCATTGAAGGAGATACTGAATAGTACTGAGTGATACTGAACGGTACTGAATGATATTGACTGATACTGAATGATAAGAACTAGCATTGTTAACGAGAAAGAGAAGGTAATTCAGTTATTTTTCAGGTTACGGTGAAGTATCCGTAGATACAGATGTTGGTAAAGTGTTTGCTGTGGTTTTCGCACTTGTTGGTATTCCTCTTATGTTCATCACTGCAGCCGATATCGGCAAATTCCTCTCAGAAACATTGCTCAAGTTTGTTAGCAATTGGAATAGGATGACACGGAAAATCAAAGTGAGTTTGTTGTCTTCGTTATCGATTTTTCTACATTTTACTTTTTTTTGGATGTAAAGTACATAGAGCAAAGGGTACACGCGTTGCATCATCTTGATGCGTTTTGATGGATTGGAGCACTTCTAGGGTGAATTGGGCTTACATTTTTTCAGTTTTTACCATGCCAGCTTTGCTTATATGTAGAACTTTTCTTTAATGGGAAATGATAAAAATAATAAAATTCAATTCAATAGGTCAGTTGATTTGAGTGACTTTTAAATTAAATTTCAATTCAACGAGTTTCTTCGTTGTAATTGAAATCAGCAGAATTTCCGCTAGGTTTTGGTATAAAACTGATCCAAACTTAAGGCTGTTCTTGAAAGTGACTTTTAACTCCGCTGCAAAGTGCCAATTAGCGGGGGCGATCTACTTTTTACGATTTAAGAGAAAGGCCAACGTCATCCAGCAACCCCCTTTCTGTTGACAGAGCTAAACGACGCTCTGTTAACCGGATGTGAAACGTCCGTTGACGTCTACGTGCAACCTAAAAATAGCCGAAAGCTTCCTTGCCCCCGTTGTCCGAGATAGAGTCTCATGAAGATTCCAGAACTATGAATGAGACGCGAGCTACATCCTTGGAACCAAGTTCCATGAGCTGTTTTACAAGNAAAAAAAAACAAAATTAATCTGAGCGAACGAATGACATAGCAGTACAAGTGAATAAGTATAAATGTTGTTGAGTTCAAATATCGAATGAAAAACTCAAGAATTAGAAGTTTGGAGTTCTGAACTATGTACGCCAAAGTTCTTATTACTTTCGCATGATAGCTCTATGCAATGTTGGTGCATCGTTCTTCCATATTTCCTCCGAACAATCTTCTTTACACTATAGAGAAATCGGGCTTGATTACTGGTTTGGATGCTGAATGCCTGCAATGCAGTTATTCAGCCGAGAGAGTGCAGATTCGATTGTACTTACTTCTTCATTACTCGGTACACCAAATCTATTTCATTGGTCGCTACTTCAATAGCCATTTCATAGTCAATCCTCGCGAGGATATGGGGCATTAATAGATGAATAGAATGAATCGATAGTTACGGTCGATAGTTCCGTGATGATACGTAGTAAAACTTACAGGACACTGTTTTACGAGAATTGTGACTCATAGGCTAGGGAACTGGGGACTGGTGCAGTAAGATCGGAATTGTCGCGTCGCGGAAAGAGGGACGCCGCGCGCGAATGAATGTAGTAGAATGCAGCAGCAGGTAGGAAATAAAGGAACAAAAGAACTAATTGTAGAACCATGCCCAAAATAATGATCGCATTTCGATTGAGCTGTATAAATAAAGTTAGAGCTGTAATAACGGCGAAGCGAATGGCCCGCGACAGCCGCGTGCGGCGATTCGATTACACAAAACCGATTTTACTGCTCGTCCACCGGGAAACTGCAGTAACTTCAAATCTAAACTTCTTCAACTTCAATCCCAGCAATATCTACATGTAAGCGCGAGCATTCTCCGCTTTTGTGTTTAGCCCAGTCTGACCGGTGCGAGTACCAGCGAGTCAAAGCGTAGTTTTTTTGATTCTCATGAAAGAAATACTCCGCGATAACCGCCTACATTTGAGAGACGAATGTGCCGCACTGCTGCCGAGAAATTGACGCCTCACCCTGACATTACGTACTCGGTAACCACGCGTTCAGCAGCAGCCCGTTACCTGTAGCGTAGTCAACAGTGGCAGTGTGCTCGGTAGAAACCTCGATAGAGGATATTCCCTGAAACTTAGGCAATTTCAAAGTTGCAGAGATAAGAAATTATATTTCAGCAATGGATCTACCGGAGTCGTCATGGCCGGCGGAAGTCTATGCAGTCGTCGAATGGTAACACTGACACGTTAGACATTCTTGGTGTTGATGGGACTGAAGAGAAACTGTGGTTTCCTATCGGTCAGTACTTGGCTAACTTCCTAATTTTACTTACCGTTCATTTGAGTTGCGTTCACGCCACCACGTAACGCCCTCTGGCTTCTCGATGATCAGGAATGCCACCCAAGATGGAGCATACAATAGAAATCAAACCTTTTTTCACGAAAATAGGGTCGGAAGTTCGTCGCGTGCGGCGATCGCCCACGATTCGTGCATTACTGGCTCCCGCCAATCACCGGCGCGCCGGCATGACTTTGCGTTCCTCCGCCCACAGGCCCTCAACATAAATCAATTTTTACATAAAATGTCTTTACATTATGATAGTTTTATTGATCTGACACTGTTTTCTCATAGCCGCAATGGCTGAAGAAACTAAAAAAATGCATCTCGGATTCTCTGTTGGTAAGCTGTTTGAGTTCAAAATCCCATATTCAATCCCTGCTTTCTCCCGGTCTGCTTGTTATAGATTCCATAGGAAAAGCGTACGCTGCATTTCCGATTTCGACTTTTCACAATCCTTTTGATACCGATCTTCTCGTTCAGGAACCAATCATGATGTAATAAGCTTAGCCAGGTTGTAGGTTTGCAGTCATTCTTACTTTAGAGGAACCTTTACCCATTTTGATCTTCGGTATTGTTTTTGACCTTACTTTGCTGATGATTCACTTACGAGGGCTCATCCGTATGCTTGTAAGACAGTATGGCGTTCAGTAATCCACTGGGAATTGATTCCTTACACGATAACTCAGCTGGCCATAATGGATCATTTCCAAAAATTCCCGTTACATGGAATCTCAAACGCTGTCATTTCCATAACCTCATATGCGCATCAAGTGTTTCTCAAGAGAATATACTTTGGTCTATTCAGGAGCCTATGTTGCTTGCATTTGTTTATATTGCTCTATGGGATCAGCCATGTTTATAAATTGGGAACGGTAAGTGACTCTCTGACTGCTTATAGCTAGTTAAGGGATCCAAATGACGTCATAAATTTCTAAAAAATGAATAAACAAGTAAAGAACTAGTTGTATATTCCAGCACTTGGTCTTTCATTCATGCCTTTCACTTTGGATTCAATTTGATAGTGACGGTTGGATTGGGAGACATTGTTGTCAAAGATTATATATTTCTTTCACTCATTGTCGCCTTTGTCATCGTCGGTGGGTATTCTTTATTTACTGCTTAATACTGATTATAAGCTACCAGTTTTTATTCTCATTAACTTAAACCATACTGTATCTTACTAAGTTGTACCTATGGTAAGCTATTTACTTAGGTCTTTCCGTAGTAACTATGTGCGTTGATTTGGCGTCCACACATCTCAAGGCCTACTTCACTCGAATCCATTACTTTGGACGAGCGAAAAGGTAAAAGTTACTCTTACTGCTTCAGAGTTCACTGGGTATTCTATATTCTTCAGATTCTTGGGAATGAGTGAAGAGCTGAAAGAAATCGTCGCACTGCTCGGAGCGATGAGGCGGAAAAAAGGCGGAAAGGTAAGAGAAGCTGGTAAAAGTAAGGTAATCTGAATTTAAATAGTAACGCTTAGGTAACGTGGAATGACGTGCGAGATTTCCTTGACAACGAATTGCGTGATCGACCATTTGAGCCTCATGAATTGCTTATGAAATTACGGTTTATTGATGAAACTTCATCAGGTTAGTGAAATTCTTTTTGCTAAACGTCAATGGCACCACCTGTCCGCTTTCCTTTTTAAATACATGTCAATTTGAAACGTGAACCTAGATTCATATCCTTCATTTCGGGTTTGGGCTCGAATAGGCTGCCACAAAGTGCCTCATTCGGCTTTTGAAATTTTGAATTTTGTTAAGAAATGAAAAATAGCGCTCAGTCCGCCTTGATGGCTAAGTGTGTCATTAGGTCCGGTTTTGCATGCATGCTTTCTTCTCATTTTCTGTGACGAACTGCAAGTATGTACGACCCAGAGATCTTCTTTCCTGATAGGTAGTGGCTGCTGCAGCTCTCACGATATGTGTCAGCACTGCTTCTGGACAGTCGTGGGTAGTTGGCCGGAAAAAGCTATTTGTAATTTCGGACTCAATGTCCTACCTAATCAATCCTCAGAGAGAAACCTATATTTAGGGCTCTAGCGCTGCTAACCAAAGCCCAAACGGGTATTCATGACAAAAGCAATTCATACTAGCACTGTGCGGATAAGTAAACAAGATGTAAACAAGGTTTTACTTTTCAGGAATGTCAACTATTCGGCATAACTCCTTCCAGTCGGACTTTTTCCGAGAATCGGAATACATACGTCGGGTGCAAGCGTTGAGACCAGAACAACCAGCTTACCTCTAATTTCCCCCCTTTCACGCTGTTTTATTTTTCTGCTTAAGTTCTTAACAAAAAAATCGATACTCACATTTGTCATGTGAATATCCTCGTCTTCTGAGAAGTACTGTATAGCTACGCTTTAAACATCGTCATTTTTCCCTTCTGTTTATCAAATCCGTGCTCTCATCACTCAGCTCCATCGCTGCCCCGTCGCCGCGTCATTTGTACCCGATCAGGGTTCTCTAGTGTACTCTCACTGCAGTTACGATCTTTTGGAACTTTCATATTTACGCGATTCTTTCAACGGTTTTATTTTTTTTTATTATTTTTTCATTTTTTGCTCTAGGTAAATTCAATTTTTATTGGATTTGATTAGACGCATTTATAGAATTTTATTTGGGTAGAAATCAATGTGCGTTTTATGATGATTATTATTATTGATTTTTTCTCCGTTATTTATTGATTGCCACAATAGAGTGTGAACACTCTAACTGATCCATATCCCAATCTTTAATCGTCTGGGAGTGTCATATGAATTTGTGACAAATGTTATTATTGTATTTTCTGATCATTGCTCCTTCTCTTCTCTCCCTCTCATCAGTCTCTTGCCATCAACCGTTGTCTCTTATATTATCTTTATTCATTGTTGTTTAAACCATTTGTGTAACATTTACATATTGTAAATTTAGCTTATGAAGTACCTCTAGTTGATTATGCTCTTGTCAGCATTGAATCTCAGATTGTTTACGAATAAATGAAATGTTTTGACTTTAATTTAGCAAACAAAATCAAAACCTTATGCTTCTTTGAAGGCTTCTATACTTCCAATGTTTCGGATTTTTCCCTCAATGGCTGCTTTCATAGTCCACGATATGGCCCGCGACCAGTCGCGCGAACGGTCGCCGGCCAAATCGTGGACTATGAAAGCAGACAATGGCTATCTTAATTTTTACTGAAAATCTATACCACAAGATAGTAACAAATACTTCATTGATACCAGTTGAATACTAGGAAAATTAATCGAAAGTATCAAAGTTAGAAACAATTTTTACCGAACAAAACAAAATCAAGTTAATCGTAACAATATGACTGTAACACAACACTGTAAGGAGTTACTGTAACAGTATTCAACGTCCGCGCATATGCTTCTGCTCGCTGAAATTTGTTAGCTGAGAGGATGGGCTGGAAGCTTTTTTATATTTAATCCGAAATAATGAAGAAACAGAACTTACACGTGCTGGAAGAGCCCAGCAAATGTAGTGAAGTTGTGGCACTCTGCGCACTCATGATACGATCCCCAAACGGCAGCAACCTGAACCAATCTTACAAAGAGTTGCTGAAAGTTTAGTAGTTAAATGATGTGAAATCCGTTGATTTTGAAGCTGACTGAAAGGCTCAAACTTCGTTGCGGTCAGCGCCCTATGGCGGGTCAGGAGGCACCGTCGCGATGACCTCNAATCCGTTGATTTTGAAGCTGACTGAAAGGCTCAAACTTCGTTGCGGTCAGCGCCCTATGACGGGTCAGGAGGCACCGTTGCGATGACCTCAGAGATCCTAACGCGGTTGCTGTCGGTGGAGCCATCCTCACTGTAGTTGAAGCCCCGTTGTTCTCTTGTCCCAACGGTGTGGCTTTCATATTAATTTCATTCTTTCACACACAAAAAAAAGTGACAACATGACGAATCGAAACTGCGAAAAAAGTTGAGATGTATATCGTTCACAAAATAAGATCTATTTGATTGCTGGCGAGGCGTCGGAGCTAGCGCTACGATAAAGGCGGTCGCGACAGGACCATTTAGGCGTTTGTTGTTGTTTCAATACCGCAGCCTCGATAGCTGCCCGGTGAAACACCGACCTTCTGCGCTTTGAATCGGTTTGGGAGACCATTTAGCTGGTTAACAAGTAAAAGACGAAGAGAATAGTACTGAATCTCGGAAATGGTTTTGTTTTCCTTGGTCCAGTTGCCGAGCCGAGAAGATTTCTTTAACTGACCGCGCCTACTATCGACAATAGGCAGTCAGCTGGACCAATTCCGGCTGGACATAAATCCGACAGTATGCGGCGTCACAATGAAAGCCGCTTTTGTTTATTACCAAAGTAAAATACTAAAGTGATACAAAAGCATATTTATACGTACCAAATGCATTTCCAGATGATGGTTCGTTGGTGAGGCAAGGCCGCAGATATAGCACACTTCGATTCGTCTGTTCGGATCTCTCTGTGGAAGTGCATCCAACAGCTCTTTCAGTGAAATCGGCATATCTGACTGTACAATCAATAATCAGCTGCAATTCGTTTCCATTTGAAACAGGTACGTTGACTTTCAACCAAAAATAAAATAGGAAAAAAACATAAATTTTCGAAACCCTCGACATGAAGACTACGCTTTCATAAGAGAAATTTCCAGAAAAACGCGCGGCAATTGACCTATGAGTAGCGCTCAGTAGGATTATGGTAGCAAATTGACAGTAAAGTGGCTAAACTGATTAATCAGCATTACAAACTATGTAGATTCATAACGGAATATTAACCGTTACACATCTTTCTCACACATCTTCAGAAAAGAAACACTACAGTAGTATAATTAAAGTCATTCTTTGAAGCAGAGAAGAGATTACGACAAATGAGAGCGTTCAGAGTTGGCGCTGGCCCTACGGCGTGCAATTGCCATACGCCACGATGGATCAATAAGGACGCCGTTGGTGCAAGGCGTCGTAGAATGCACGTCAGCAGGAACAGTGCAGAACCTGCGGACAGTATACCCTACTCGATTTCAAAAACTGACGTCCATACGCTGGAAGAATATAGATGTAAAGTAAGGTATGCAGAACCATCACTACCGGACGGCATGTGACCAATAATGGGATTGCGAAAGCGGTTCAAAACAGTAGGCGATTGGAGCGCAAAATTATCAGCAGAGCACGTTATATGAAAGAGGTCCAACACCGTAGCACTACCACGGATCCTTCTGTAGGATTTAGATGCCCTTGCGATTTTAGGCCACTATCTCTCTGGTGGCTTCTTCTCAACGTCTTTTGCCAAAACTGGCAGGTAGAAGAAACGAGAAAGGTGGCTGACTCTACACGTTTACAGTTTACGCGTTGGTAATAAAGGATCATAATAAAAGTAGCCCCAGCATAAAGGCACCAATCTCATGTTCCGCGTTCACTATTAGAGTTGCTTCTTACAATTTATATCGAAGAATGAAAGAAAATGGCCAAGCTAGATGGGGGCTGCGTTCGGCCAGTGACTGTATAATGAGGAGAATGCGTGGGCGACTGAATCATTGTCGTTCGGGGCGCAATGTTAGCCGCGGAGCAGCTTAGCCCTCACGTACCCATCCGGTGCGAAGCCCTTTTTACAATATTTTGATTCTACGACATGAAACATGTATGAGCACTGAATAGAAGCCACAGTCTTGCTAATTCTTCGTCTGGGAGGATTATGCGTTGCTGTAGGCTACGAAGACAGCATGCTGTTTTGCTTTTTACGCTACGGAATCGTGTAAGTTCGATTGAGCTTAGAAAATGGGGCTGATGTCAAAGAGCAGAACGTGATCATGACTAGAAAATTGGCTCCGATGGCTATTCATGAGCTATTTCCGTAGGCCTGTATGCCGCACTAGGTCTTCTGCTGCATTCTCACACTAAACTCGAATTTTTTGTAATGTGATGCATCCTGCATGGCGCAATGTATTCATGTTGATCCGTTTTTTGCACAAGCAACCTCAAATGGTGTGACAGCGTGGAAGTCAAGGACTCAGATTCGCGGTGCGACGGCAATGGCGACGGTGCGACGGGTCTTTAATAGCTGTCTCGCGGCGTTGAGTGGATGGGAAGATGTTTGCAAGTAATATACATTGTGCTGTTCCAAATCCTATTTGAACCTCTTCTTCACGCGATGGGCGCGATATGATGTTCTAGTCTTTCGGTTCATATTCAGAGCAACCTCTTCTTCACGCGATGGGCGCGATATGATGTTCTAGTCTTTCGGTTCATATTCAGAGCGAAATAATGGGCAATGCAGTAGAGGTGGACGAGTTGTCTGACGGCGCTATGCCACAGCCTCCCTGGCTTTCTCCCTCTTCCGTGTAGTAAATCCGAGTGGAATTGAACTTATAGATGTGAGAAGGCCTGCGTCATACAGACGAGTTATGATTATTGAGGTGCAATAGGAGAAAAACTGGAAAAAAACTTTTACTCAAGGCTCTACTGGTTAGAGATCCCTTCAGTTGTCCGAGCTGTTACCTTCATTTGCCAATGCTGTTGTTTAGTGGATTCTCTGTTGTTAGGTATTTCGGGTCTTTTTTCTGTCGTCAAGGGCCCAAAGCTGCGGGTCCCCCCGGCCCCTTACACCCACCCACTCCTGGTGAGTCAAGAAAAGTGGCTGGATGAGTCAGAGTATTCGTTTATTTTCTTTCGGAATCGCAAGGATACAACTGCGAAGAGGATCATCTGACAGTTCTGATCTCTTTGTGGTTTCAGCGAGGGAAGGTCAAATGCA